AATGGGTTTCTCTGAACGGCCATTATTTATACTCATCCAGGCTTCTTACATGATGATACTATTTCCTTGTGTTACCACCATGCCAATATTGTTCTGTTGCCCTCAAGTTGCCAATTCAACACATTCGTCTATCACAAGACTCATAAAGGGATCAAATCCCTGCGATATTCCTTGGACATGTCTGCCACCATGTAATTTCCATGATAACTTCTTGCCATAAATTTTTTCAATTCAGGAGGGTAAGCTTTAGCAATATATGAGGGTACTTCAAAGAGTTCATGGAAAGATTTGTGTTATCTTTTAATTCTATTTTTTTCACGAACTTTCTGAAGTACCCTCATAGCAGATGCCACACTGATTTGTGTGAAGTTACGCCTCATTTGAAAGTCTCTTGACTGTACGACTGAGATCTAGAAATTAAAGTGAGGATTTAAGAAATTTGTAGACAGTTCTGGTAAATAAAGCATATTTTAAAATTTGAGAACCTTTTTGCCTGATTTACGGCTTTAGTCTAATGTCTTTTAAACAAGGAAACAATATAACGCTTGAAGCTTCTCCTTTATTGATTATCATTTATTGAATCATTGCAATTCAAAAGATATAAAACCTGTATCCTCTGTGGGACTTACAACTCCTCACCAGACTTCTTTTACGTGTAACTTCCTTAGTGCATCTTCTAATCTGAAATCAGTTGTGAATTCACTTTCTGGTTCTTTGCATTAAACTGGATTAGCCATTGTAAATGATTTTTTTTTTTTTTTTTTTTTATAAACATTCAAAGATTGAATTATTTTATATATATCTTGCCTGCTAACCTAGATTACAACAGTTTGAATATAGCACTCTCCTTTTAAAATATTTGTCATTTGAGATTACAAGTATATTGGCAAAATGATTATTTCAATTGGAAAACAGCTGCTACAAACATGAGCTACTAGTATTTTGTGGCAGAGTGTTAAATTACCTAATATCAGGGACCTGTGAAGTTGAATTTAACTATTAATTTCTTAACACCTGGTCTTGTATTTTACTGTGAGGTGGGGACTGGCCTATTTGGCACCCTAAAAGCTCTCCCTGGCTGCAGGCCACAACTCATGTGGCTGTTGGTGCTGCTTCTGGCGCTCACTCCACCCTTCCCACACTGGCCAGTGGAGCGGCCAGGGGCACCTGCTCACAGGAGAGGGTGCGCTGCCGGCTGGGTGCTTGGGGATTTCACTGGAGCTGGCCTGAATAGGCCATGTATCCTTTGAACACAACCATACATTTAGAAACGGACTTCCACGTATGTGGACTCAGCCACTGACAGAAACGTGCGCTGCTGTGGGTGCTGCGGTTAACATGAGTGTGCTATGGCATTTTTGTTGGTCACTTCCGGGTGTGCCTGCAGGTGTCCACGAAGTTTGTCCACAGCCTCTGCCTTTTTGCACTCTGCTAGGGTGTTTGTTTCATTGTGGTGGAGGTATGGGAAGCCAAATTTATGTACCGTGTGGAGTCCTGAACAGGGCTCCATTCCTAGTTTTCATTTTTATAGACTGGTCCTGTAAATAAGCAGAAGTGAGCGAAAAGAAAAGAGCAGCATGGGAATGGTTGTTATAAGCCATATTTAAGTTAATCTTTAATCATTTAAAAGCTTTGTTTGAGAATTTCTAGGGTATAAATTTTCTGTCTCTTGAATGAGTAGGTATCTATAGTGAGGAAAACTAAATTCCGAACAATCCTGAAAGTATGTATGTATGTATGTATATGTACATATTTAAAGCAGTTCACTAGAAGTCTTTAGAAATGCTGCAGCTGGGCCGAGCCCGTGGCGCACTCGGGGGAGAGTACGGCACTGGGAGCGCAGCAGCACTCCCACTGCGGGTTCGGATCCTATATAGGGATGACCGGTGCGCTCACAGCGCTCACTGGCTGAGCGCTGTGCAGCCGGTCTCAAAAAAAGGACAAAAAAAAAAAAAGAAAAAGAAATGCTGCATCTGTTGATAGACCATTGTATATGGAAAATGGGGGTCAGGATGCAAGGAGAATGAGCCACAATTGAATAGAGAAGTTTTCATTTTACTCCTGAGATAATAGAGTAATAAGTTGTCTATTTTGTTTCTTACTCATAACTTTGAAAGTACATTCTTGATAGAGCTCTTGTTAGTTTTGGTGAGATTATATTTTTTCTCTTTTAATTTCTAGAAATGATGAAGAGTCCATTCTTACTTTTGGAGAAAGAGTATTGCAGGCCAGCTTTAGTGTGATAAGTGAGAAACAGCAGTGTCTTCACTTTGCTGGTGGAATCTGTGAGCACAAGTGATTACTGCCTCTGTCACAAGAGCTGTGAGAAGAGCTATGGGAGTGCTGTCCTTTTGGCCAGACTGTAGATGTCCTTTGGTGTGCTTGGAGGGCTGTTGGGGATGGTGCTGTTGCAGTGAGCTCTCCGTGGTAAAGGCCTTGATACTGGGAACTGGAAGGGGAATCTCAGTCTTGTCACCCATTGTCCTCACACATACCACCTTCTTTCCTCCTTCCCAGTTTAGTAATCTTATTTTACGAGCCTTACTGCAAAGTGTTAGACTCTCAGTAGAATGTAGAAATTGTGTTTCTTGCTGGCCAGGTAGTTCAGGTAGTTAGAGCACAGTGTTGATAACACCAAGGTCCAGGGTTTGGTCCCTATACCGGCCAGCTGCCAAAAAAAAGAAGAAAGAAATTACATTTCTTATGCTGGGTAATTGAGTAATAACAATACTACTGTCTTAATGTCAGTCTGACTGTCTCATCTTGTCTGAAACATAATTGAACACAATCGGGCTCAGACAGGTCTTAGAATCCACTGTTCATTTCTCAAGAGCAGGTTCTTAAACAAACACCTTTGTTCTGGTCCTTTGCTTTCTTCTAAGCTTGTTTTCCAGCATTCTGTAATTTCCATTTTTTATTAGTTAATTTCTGGTATAAAGGGAAAATATAGATTGTTTCTTAGAAATATTGTTTGTGTTATTACTTTTAAAGTTTTCTAGCATAAAATGGCTATATTTTGTTGTGTATATATGCAGTGTGGGGCTGCTGTTCAGTTCTTATAAGGTCTCCCCCAGTACTTTGACCTTGCTCTGTGTGTGAGCGCGTGTGCACGCATGCCATGTGCCCTGTCAGTGTTGCCAAGTTGGATCAAAGTTAGCAGCAGCATGGTTATCAGGGATTCACTTTTGCAGCAAAAAATCCTCAAGCCTGACTAGGTGTTTCCTCTTTTTGAGTCTTTTTCCTTAATATCCTCACCTGTTCATTTTGCCCCTGACCTTAGAATTGTGTTAATTTTTTAAAGTTTTGATCAATTTAGTCAACAAATACAAATCTGTCTCTTACAACAGTGTTGTAATATATATATTATATATATGGTCTGAACCAAGAGTCATTTTTAAAAAAATATCATTTAGAAAGTTTTTCCTTTAAAGAAATAAATTTTTAAATACAGTGGTGTCATTTGGTTTTTAAAATGGAACTTGAGTCCCTCTAGTGGATAAGGTATAATTCACCTTCCAAGCTTGAGATAGAAAGGAAGATGACAGTCTTGATTTTCATGGACCCAGCTTTCAAATCCAGTGTTCTTTTTTTTTTTTTAAAAAGATGACCGGTAAGGGGATCTCAACCCTTGGCTTGGTGTTGTCAGCACCACGCTCAGCCAGTGAGCAAACCGGCCATCCCTATATAGGATCCGAACCCGCGGCCTTGGTGTTATCAGCACCGCACTCTACCGAGTGAGCCACGGGCCGGCCTCTCACTGTGTCTTTTGAAATACCCAATCCCTGCAATTTCTGAGTATTTATTTGGTTTCACAGTGACAGCTTACTTCTCACTTACATCTTTTTTTATGGTAGATATCAAAGTATCTAATTTTTTCATTTCACATTTTGACATTTAAACTGATAATTTTATTTTTTAAATGTTGAATCCAGTGTTCTCATCGCTACTGGTGCCCTCCTCCCCAGCTGAGAGGCAGTGCGTAGCTAGTCACTGGCTTGGTCCTGATATCAGCCAAGGTTCAGCACCCCTGCTCTTCTACCCATGTGATCTTAGTGGCCCTGGTCATTGCTAGCATGTGATCTCACACGCTGTGGTTCACCGGCTGCTTTATTTCAAGCCTCAGCAAGTCTAAATTCAAACTGTAAGTTGGTGATTCTACCCCATGCAGTTCTTTGTAGAAGAGAACACAGTGCCCCCAGGGTCCCTGAGTTGCCCTGAAATAAATAATTATACAGGCCTGCTTTGGGCACAACAGATAGATTGAGGACACTTAGCAACTGGAGGAGCCAATACATACGCAACAAAATAGCTAGTTTACTCTATGTTAGGAAACTCTTAATGTCATTTCAGAATATCTGATAGACAGAATAGAGGCAGCATGGTATGGCTGAAAAGAATTTGGATTTTAGGTTCAAATCCTAACTCTGCAGTTACTAGCTATGTGACCTTCAGCTGTGATTACATAGCCTCTCTATCTTAGTTTTCCCTTTTGTAAAATGGGGAGATGTTGGGGCCGGCCTGTGGCTCACCTGGGAGAGCGTGGTGCTGACAACACCATGTCAAGGGTTGGGATCCCCTTACCGGTCATCATTTTAAAAAATAATAAAAATAAAATAAAATAAAATGGGGAGATGTTAAAACTATCTCGTAAATAATTCCTTGAACTTGGTAAGATAAGTGAACAGACATGATGTTGATGGGTGGGGAGGTGAGGAGAAGGAGGGAGAAAAGGAGGAATTGGTAAAGGGACACGAAAACCAACTGCATTGTATATTGGTAAATTAAAAAATAAAAAAAATTTTAAAATTCTTAACAATTGAAAAAAACCAAAAAAGTATCTTGTAAGATTGTTTTAAGTATTGGAAATAATACATGCAAAGCCTTTGCTCTAGGATTGGTAGCAGAAATCATGGAAATTTCCCTAGCCAAGTCCATTATAATGCATGGGATTTAATTGTAGGGATAATTTTCTTTTCTTCATGCCTGCTTTTTTCTTTCAGTCACCACCAAGTAAGCGAAGAAAATTAGAGAAGCCAAGGAAACCCATCACATTTGTAGTGTTGGCGTCTGTGATGAAGGAATTGTCCCTGAAAGCCTCATCTCTGGGCTCTGACACACTGGAAGGCATAGTGGTTGTGACGACATGGATAGAAAGAATTCTCACTGATCTGAAGGTACCTGGCTGAGCGTATTGATGAAGGACTCACAATAAACTCTTTTTTCCTTTTTTCTTTTTCTTTTATTTTTAAAAGGAGTTTAGAGAGAAGAGAAAAAGTGATTTCCTGTAAAATTCTGTTTTTCCTTCAAATAGGTCCAGCATAAACGAGTTCCCTGTGGAAAGGAGGAGGTTAGCCTTTTCCTAACAGCCATCGAAAACTCCTGGATTCATTTAAGGAGAAAGAAAAGAGAGCGAGTGAGACAACTGAGGGAAGTTCCTCGAGCACCCGAGGACGTCATCCAAGCCTTGGAAGAGAAAATGGCCACGCCCAAAGAGTCTGGCACTAGCCAGGATTTGGCCAAGGGCCCCCGGGAGAGTACCCTGTGTGGGCCTGCTCTGCAGGAAGGCGAGTCTGTCACTGTTGAGGGCCATTGCCCAAACCAGGAGTCACTCTCCCAAGAAGAAAGCCCAGAACCCATGGAGGATGAAAGGAGTGAGGAAAAGGAAGGGGTAGAGATTCTGGAAAGTTGTAAAGGCTCTAGCAATGGAGCCCAGGACCAAGAGGCTTTTGAGCAGTTCAGCAACCCAGTGGCTGAAAAGGGGAAACGTCTCCAGGAAGTGGCCGGACATTATCTATTTAAGTGTTTGATAAACGTCAAGAAGGAGGTGGATGATGCCTTAGTTGAAATGCACTGGGTTGAAGGCCAAAACAGGGATTTGATGAACCAGCTTTGTACCTATATACGTAACCAAATTTTCAGGCTTGTTGCTAGTTAACTGCAAACTTCTGGCCAAGTTCTCTGTAAAGCAGCTTGCTTTGGAGTGGCCTGTGGAGTAACGAGGAATTCTACCATTGGCCCATTAGGAGCATTATGTGAAATTATCTTAAAAAGCAGAAACCAATTAATCCATTTGTAAATCCACCTTCCTCCCCGCTTTTTTTTTTTTTTTTTTTTTTTTTTTTTTTTTTAAGTTATAGGGAAATGGAGTATGGTAGTTCAGGAGGAAGAATTGTGGTTATCAGCAACAACAAAAAGTCATTAGTAAACTCATAAAGGGTTTAAAGCTGACTTAAGCTGGTCACCTCAGCTTTGGACTGGTTTTCTGAGGCCAGAAGTATTGTTTATTGAATCTGGTCTGGTGCAGCCTTGTCCAGATTATCATGCTCTCTCTCTTACCCAAGGCTCCTTCTTGAGAAGGGGTGACTCTCTCGTCCTCCAAATGGAGGCAGTACACCAGGGTAGATAGGCCCTGGTGCCCTCTTCTAGATCACTCTTCAAGACTGAACCTACTCTGGGTCCATATGATTGATGAACCCTGCATCACTCCTGAGAAAGGAAAGGAGCTGGCCCAGGGAGAAGGGCCAATCTAGGGAACGCCTGGGAAACAGCATATTCCTGACTTGTGGCTGTTTTGATGTTGCTTGTTTCAGAAACAGAATTAGGTAAGCAGAACTCCTAGATGTGACTGAGACACAACAAAATGCACCCATACCCCCACCTCCAACCTGTTGAAAATGCCATTTTGTAGCTGTATGATTTTTGTTTTGATATTTGAAGTAGAGCTTGTTTTGTTCTTAATATAAGAATATTCAGGGGGCTGGCTGGTTAGCTCAGTTGGTTAGAACACAGCCTTATAACAGCAAGGTCACGGGTTCAGATCCCGTATCTGCCAGCCGCCAAAAAAAGAAAACTGTCAATCCTATTTTCCTATTTGAATCCTGGCTTGGGGAAAATATTTTCTTGACTTTGCGTGGGTAAGTGGTTGATGATAGAAATGAGAAACAGCAAGATAGTATGTTCAGTTAGGTAGCTTAAGAAAGTGTCGTCTGGAAGAGTTGGAAAAAAAAGAGTGTCATCTGTTGGTAGGTAATTTGTTGCTGACCAAATACTGTTTTCTGTGGCTTCACTTGTAATCCATTCTGTGCTTACCTGCTAGTGCTGGAGAATTCTGAGGCCAGGGTAACCATCTCCTTAAAACATGTTTCTGGGCCGGCCCGGTGGCACACTGGAGGGTGCGCCGCTTGGGAGCGCGGCGGCTGAGGGTTCGGATCCCATGTGGAGACCGGTTCCCGCTCACTGGCTGAGCGCGGTGCGGGCGCAACACCGAGGGTTGCGATCCCGTTGCCGGTCAGTAAAAAAAAAAAGACAAAAAGGAAAAAAAAAAAAAACATGTTTCTAATTGGAATGCCAGGGTGCAGCAGAAATACCTCTAGAAAAGGAGTCTTTGTTCTCTTGGTTTCTCAGTAACCCTCTGCTGTGCTTGACTTTCACAGCTTGATTTTATGCCAGCAATCTAGGTTCTCTTTTAGGCTAAAATCTTTGAGAATTGTGACAGAGCTCATTGCCATCTACAAAGAAGACTGAGGCTGAGTGTTAAGCCATCCTTTTGAGAGGTGGCTGTTGGTTAGGGCAGAAAGCCTATGACCTTGGTGTATCTTGGCAGCAGCTAGATCAGGCCCTCAGCAAAGGAAATGAAATATACAGGAAATGAAAATATGGTGCCTCCCTGTGGTGTGGAGCTGGAGCAGAGTATATTAACTAGTGTTCTTTTTTTTTTTTTTTTTTTAAAAGTTGACCGGTAAGGGGATCTCAACCCTTGGCTTGGTGTTGTCAGCACCACGCTCACCCAGTGAGCAAACCGGCCATCCGTATATGGGATCCGAACCCGCGGCCTTGGTGTTATCAGCACCGCACTCTCCCGAGTGAGCCACGGGCCGGCCCCCTTAACTAGTGTTCTTAACGTAGTCCCTGTACCTCTGGAGAATCCATAAACCTCCTGAAATTATTTCTAAAAGCTCTGTGAGCATATGTGTTTTTCTTTTTGTTTTTTTCCTGGGAAGAGGGCCCATGATGGAGAGAGAAGAGGGGTCAGTAATCCACTCAGAATTAAGAAGTACTATTCTAGTCCACCATTCAGTTGACAGGATGAAGAAACCAGTGCCCAGGGTCACACAGCCAAGATCCACGCCAAGGCCTTGGATTCCCCTGGCCTAGTAACTTTCTGCTGTTCTGGTCCACACCATCCCACTGTGCTTACCTCTGATGAATAGCACATTTGAATCATATGCAGGAGGTAAACATAGTTTCCTTGATATAATTTTAGGATAAATGAGTTAAGTGGCAACTATTCATTCAATTAAGTAGTAAGTATTTATTGTTTGCTTGTTAAGTTCGTTATGAAAGAGTAGCACCTGCTCATTAAAGAAGAGGTGGAAAAAATGAAAGTTGGAAATGACAGCAAAATCCCCCTAATCTCCACCTTCTCTGACACAACACTGTTAGTGTTTGTGTGTTTCCTTCTGGTCTGTCTTTCTGTGGTTGGGGTGAGGGTGTGGGTTTAACTTTGGTTGTACCCATGCTCTGTATTCAGTTTCATATTATGCATTTTTTCATTTACAGTCTTGTAAGTATTTTTCCATGTTATAAAAGTGCTGTATTTATTTACACTCCTTGCCTGTCCAAAATGTCTTTCAGGCAAAGTATTGGCCTTTATTTAAGTCTAGTTCTTAGGGAATCCCAGAGAATACTCTGTAACTGGAGGCACAAAAGGTGTGTCTGTGTGTTTCAGTCCCCAGTTTAAGGATTGGTGTCACGGAGGAGGTGTTCTAGGTGTTAAGTTAATGGTCATAGAGTTAAAAAAATATGTGATAAGGGAGGCTTCCAGTCTTTTTTTTCCTTTCATGCAGAGGAGCAGAAGAGGCTCCCGCAGTCTTGGAAGCACCGAAGCTGTGAGTGCCTTCTTTGCGCTTGGATGTCTTCATTTCCTTTTCTGGGAAGAATGGTTTCTTTCTTCAACTGTCTAATGAGGGAACATTGAAAACATTTTAAAGGGACATCTAAAAATTGTTTTGGTTATACATATGTTTTATAATTGTGTGGTGTATGATAGCATATACCTCTGCTATAGGACAGAAAGGAACTTTTCTTGTTAAATAGGTTATTGACCCACGTTTCATAATGTTGAGTGATACTCTCCTTAAGTGTCTGGAAGTCAACTTCTTGTTGGTGGATTGGTGTGAAATTAAATCTTTGTGGTATTCTTAAATTCTATTCTGATCCATCCCTGGAATTGGCTTCTGATCTCTTGATAAGTAAAATGGGAACAGAATTTTCTGAGGCGAACTGAAGCTGCTTTTGTTCTTTGCAATCTGCTTTGATTCCATCAGTTTAGTTCCTTCACTCCACATCCTTGCCCCACTGTTCCCACACCAGGGTTTTGCTGCCAGTCCTCCTACAGTGTTGGCAGCTCTGTGGTGGAGTCTCAGCTGATCTTAGGGGTTCATGTTGATTTCTTTTTTTTTTTTTTTTTGTCTTTTTCGTGACCAGTAAGGGGATCGCAACCCTTGGCGTGGTGTCGCCCCCCCCGCGCTCAGCCAGTGAGCGCACCGGCCATTCCTATATAGGATCCGAACCCGCTGTGGGAGCGTCGCTGCGCTCCCAGCGCCGCACTCTCCCAAGTGCACCATGGGGTCGGCCCATGTTGATTTCTTTTTTTTTTTTTTTGTCTTTTTCGTGACCAGTAAGGGGACCGCAACCCTTGGCGTGGTGTCGCCCCCCCCGCGCTCAGCCAGTGAGCGCACCGGCCATTCCTATATAGGATCCGAACCCACTGTGGGAGCGTCGCTGCGCTCCCAGCGCCGCACTCTCCCAAGTGCACCATGGGGTCGGCCCATGTTGATTTCTTTAGTATGTGTTTTTAGAAACATGAAACCTCTCTTCTTTTGATGGCAGTCAAAGCTTACCATGTGAGCACACCAGCTTTTGGTCTGACCAGGAGTATTAAAACTGCAGGTGTGGAAAAGATGCAAAAGCCTGTGGAAATTTGGGGGCCTTTTAAAGAAGGGAGTTAATGAATTCTTGACTAGCTGTGGGAGCCCCTCCATCTTGCTTAAACCACAGCATTGCCCTCTGTAGCCACACGGGGGCACTGTTGACCTTTTTATCAAGTGGCTTAACTTCACTGTGGAAATGGATAAAATTGTGTCCGTGGTATTTTCTTGAAACATCCAGTGCTATCCAGATAAGTATTTTTATGTAAAGAAATACATTTTCACATAAATAAAATTTGAAAAATAAAAGTAGAAAGAAGAAAAAAATACTTCTCATGGTCTTTTTATCTGACATAATCCCATTCAACTGTTTTGTTTTGTTTTGTTTTGTTTTTATGGTCCTAGTTGACTTTTCTTTTCATCTGTCATTTTACTTTAGAATATATTCAAGTTGGACCAGTCCTTTGAATCAGCTTTTTGTTGGTACCTAGTTAATGGGGATACTGGAGGGGAGATGTTTAATAATCTTAAAACAGTAACTTTACAAAAGCTTTATGTTCCAATAAGAGTAATATAGAGAGCTCAGAGAAAGAAACTGTATTCCTTCAGAAATGAAGACCCCTGTTTTCAATGTTCTTTTGTTGATTCTTGTTTTAGGTTTATCTGGTTGGCTAACATGCATGTGATGTGTTGTTGATATCAAAAGTTGATGAGGGTTCTGTGTGGAATATTTATATAGGTTAGCTGGGCCTTGTTTCTTACAAGAGGTGTTTCTGTGTGGAGCATGTATATTACTAGCCCCTGGGCTTGTGTGGGCTCAAGGAGAAATTCCATCTACCCTTATTTTTATGGCACAGGATCAGTTGTTGTGGATAACCAACCAGCAGATCTGCACATTAGTAGGAAGAAGGTCTAGTTTGGAAAACTAAGTCAGGAACCCTCTAGAAAAGGAAAATCTTAAAGTAGTAGTTTTACAGCCCTCCAGAGGGTGCCCCAAGGAAAGGGATGTGACCACATCATTTTTAGGGAAGTTGATGCTCAGGAGATTTGGTTTGCTGAATGGGCACTAACCTCAGTGAAATTCTCAAAAGAGGCTAAGTAGAATGGATTGGTGTCTGCCGCCTGGAGCAGGTCATTGATGATCTTGAACCTTTCTAATAGTCTCAAGTACATACCTCTTGGTG